ATCGAGAATCCACGAACGTGGGGAGGTCCGAGATGAATGGATACGAGACGACGAAACGACCCGAAGGGTCGCAATAAGTGGTTCGATCGAATATGTCCTTGCAACGCCAATTCTCCTCGGAGCAAGGAAGAGATTCGGGCACCTCCTCCAATTTCCAGAAGTGCCCCACCGCGGCATCGATCGATTCAACGGTAGTGGCGAAAGAGTGTAAAGGTTGCACGTGTAGCGATGGGGAGACCGCGCCCACCAAGACCCCACGCCGTATTAAAGGCGTCCGGTTCTCCGGTTTTGCCGGCACGCCGACCGTCGCGCAACACGGACACGAAGGATTCCGCCCCCAGTAGTACATCGATAGAACCGGGCAAATAGTATTCCGGGTCTGCGAGTGGCAGCCCCCGCAGGTGACTCCATGATTTCGACTCGACCCGGTTGTTGGGCAACGGCGAGGTGATGCGAGAAAGCACCGTAGCTTCGACCGGGAAACGAATGTCCTCTTTATTTCGCGCCCGGATAATAAACGAGGTAAAGTCCCTCGTAGTGGCGGCCCTTGTTTCGTCCACGCCTAACACCGTCGCGCGATGCCTCGTCCGAGAGAAGCCGTTTCGAAGGCAACGTTCTGTAACGAAATTTGCCTGACTCGCGCTATCGAGCAATATGCGGACCGGAAAGGCGTTGCCGTGGACGTCGAGCGCCTCAGCACGAACAGTTGATAGCAAGACTACGCGATTCGAGATGCTAGTTATAGAGACGATCGAATTATCGGTTGTATTCACCGGAGGCGCGGGGCTGTCAACGACTGGAGTGATAGCCGGAGCGGTCGCAATGGACGGGACGCCGGCCTGCCCGAAATGCAGGAGCGAATGGTGCTTCGCCCGACAGGACCGGCAGGTAAAAGAGCTAGAGCAATTCCTCAAGTTATGTCCCGCGCGGAGGCAATTTAAACAGAGTCCTTGTTTGTGAGCGAAATTGTGCCGTTCCCGGACCGAGAGTTGCAGAAAAACGGGGCACTTAGCCAGCAAATGCTGCTCCGTGCACTTAGGACACGCGGCGTTTTGAGCGACGAGCGAAGTAGTCTACGCGGCCTTCTTTGACGCCTGAGATGTTGCTTTACTCGACTGTGCTAAAGTGTTCGACGCCGACGCGAGAACCGTACAGTATCCTGTTAGAAATTTTATTAATTGATCGTACCGCGGCGATTCCACGGTCATGTGGGCCGCTTCGAATTTCTCCCGTAGCGTAGGAGTGAGTTTTTCTAATAAATGATTAAGCAGCATAAAATCCCACGACTCCACAGGATAATCCAGCATACTCAGGGCACGCGTGTTCTCGGTAAACACATCCAATAACGCGCGGAGGGATTCGGCGGAATCCGCGACCAAGGGGTTGGCGTGCACGAATGACCGCCAGTACTGCGTGGCTAACTTCCGTTTGTTCTGATAACGCTCTCGAAGCGCATCGTGCGCGATCACGTAATTCTCCGCGGTCAAGGGCAGATTCTTCACGACGCCCAGAGCCTCTCCCGATAACGAGGCCAACAAGTATTGAAACTTCTCGATAGCGGAAACTCCAGGATTCTCGTGTATCGCCGAGTCGAATAGAGCGATGAAAGACGGCCATAGGGCAAGATCACCCGTGAATTGAGGGAAGGCGATCTTCGGTAATTTGATCGCTGAGTGATGCGCTGGCGGCGCATTCCGGGAGGACGCTGCGGTCCCCGGCGCGGGAACGAAGCTTTCGTACCGCCCTATTACCGCGAAACGCATTTTATCAAACTCGTCGCGTATCGCGTCTTTGACCGCGAATTTCTCATCCGTAGCGTCTTGAATTACTTGGAGGTGGGATTCCTCGAAATCCTGAACTAGTTGGGCTACCGTCGGATAACGAACGAGAAAGGTCGGTCTCATAGCCACGTTTTCCACCGCGAGCATCGAATAATTGTGTATTTCTCGCATGCGCCGAACGCACAGTTCGCGCCGCGATTTGCCGCCTCGAGTCATATGTTATATATATATTAGGGTGATTAAAAAAAACCTTTTTTTTTTATTTTTCGCGACGCACCCCAAAATATCAAAGCTTACCTAAAAAAAGAATTTTCCTCAAAAGTTGAGCAAAATCGAACAAGTTTTAGAGGTCGCTACCAGCGATTTTTAATATTTTTGATTAAAAAATTGTTTTTTTTTTTTCAAATGTTCAAAATTGCATAACTTTTCGAGTTTTAATGATAGAAGCATGAAATTTTCAGGGAATCTTCGTCAATTCATGTAGTTTATGAATATCGAGTTAGAAAAATTTATTTTTGGATTTTTTTACGTTTCTTTTGTTTATAATAAAAAAATAATCGTCTATAACAAATAGGCGCCAGCGATCTGGGCCATGGTTTTGATTTTAAATTACATCTAGGTAATCCAAAAATACATTTCAATAATCAAATGCTTGAACATCGGTGAATTTGTTGCTGAAAATTTGTTTAGACAACAAATTCAAAAAACCGCGTTACCCGTAATGTAGAAATAACGCATGTCGTAATCTTTATTTAGGTGTCTGTATTACATTCCAACTTTTGTTGTTAAATTTAAGTTGATAGAATAATAAATTATCTAAATGCGCTACATATTCAATAATTTTTTGTTACAACATTAACTTCTTTTCTGCCTATAATCTATACGCCAGGTCGATTGAGCATTTTTATCGAGGTTGATGGGTTAAGTTAATGTTTTTTTATGTTTTTTGGGTCGTAGAACAAGAATCTGTAAATAGTTTTTTCGTAAGTCGATCCAATAAAAAGTTATTAACAATTTATTTGTTAAAATTGCTTTAGCGATCAAACTATACATCCTATAAAAAAATGAACCAGAGAAAATTTGTTCCTTTTTTCACAACGAACAAAATGGCGTTTGAATTTGCCTAGGATACTCCGCGACGCGTAGGCAATAATTACCTAAAAATTGACATATTTCCGTCAATAATCAAGATTTTGGAAAAATTCAAACGCCATTTTGTTTGTCGTAAAAAGAGAAACAAATTTTCTCTAGTTCATTTTTTTATAGGATGATCGCTAGTTTGGATGCTATAGGATAATCGTATAGTTTGATCGCTAGAGCAATTTTAACAAATAAATTGTTAATAACTTTATTGTATCAACTTACGAAAAAACTATTTACAGATTCTTGTTCTACGACCCAAAAAAACATAAAAAAACATTAACTTAAGCCATCAACCTCGATAAAAATGCTCAATCAACCTGGCGTATAGACTATAAGCAGAAAAGAAGTTGATGTTGTAACAAAAAATTATTGAATATGTAGCATTTGGATAATTTATTTATCTATCAACTTAAATTTGACAACAAAAGTTGGAATGCAATACAGACATCTAAATAAAGATTATGACATGCGTTATTTCTACATTACGGGTAACGCGGTTTTTTGAATTTGTTGTTTAAACATCAGCAACAAATTCACCGATGTTCAAGCATTTGATTATTGAAATGTATTTTTGGATTACCTAGATTTAATTTAAAATCAAAACCATGGCCCAGATCGCTGGCGCCTATTTGTTATAGACGATTATTTTTTTATTATAAACAAGAGAAACGTAAAAAAATTGTTTCCGAAAATAAATTTTCTAACTCGATATTCATAAACTACATGAATTGACGAAGATTCCCTTAAAATTTCATGGCTCTCATTAAAACTCGAAAAGTTATGCAATTTTGAACATTTGAAAAAAAAACCGATTTTTTAATCAAAAATATTGAAAATCGCTGGTAGCGACCTCTAAAACTTGTTCGATTTTGCTCAACTTTTGAAGAAAATTCTTTTTTTAGGTAAGCTTTGATATTTTGGGGTGCGTCGCGAAAAATAAAAAAGGTTTTTTGAATCACCCTAATATATATATACTAGCTGGTTACCCGGTCTAGATACGGTTTTACATAAAAAATTTTTTACCTGGTAGTCAGTTTGGTTTCTAGTGTTCTTAACCAGTCGTTTACAGTATTTTTATATTTAGAGTTATATATATATATGGCATTGGTAGAGTTTATACCTCTCATTGAGAGGCATATTGAACAGCAGATTGTTATCTAATACCGGTAAACTATTCATGACTTCTACCGAATGTTGCATCACGAGAAGGATATTTTATTAGAATCTGTTTGCCATAGTTTCTTAATTGTATGCTATAAAAAAATGTATATTTACTGTAAAAAAAACATATTTTAAAGTGTTAATAAATTAGGTATATGTTTAATATTAATAAATTATTTATTCAATTTTTTAAAAAATATATTTAATGTTAACAAAACATTTATTTAATGTTAATAAAATATTTGTTTAATGTTAATAAAACATTTTTTAATGTAACAAACGTTTATTTAATATTAAAACACATTTTTTAAAGTAAAAAAAACGTTTTTTACAATATTAAATTAAATATTTTTTTTAATAAGAAAAAAGGATCTATCTTATTAATTTAAACGTTTTTTAAACTTTTTTTTTATTACTAAAAACGTTTTTAAAAACGTTTAAAAAGTATTTGTTTGCTACTTCGTGTAGCCCAATCGAACTTACTACCGTGCCAAAAGAAGTAGCCGTCTCGCCAATGCCGTATGTCTATTGGCCAAATTTTTGTTACATTTTTTCGTTTCCCAGAATTTGTGACGCTTTTTCGTGTCGCAAAATCGAACTCACTACCGTGCCTAAAGAAGTTTCACTTCAAAAACGTTTGAACAATTGAAGACAACGTTATTAAATCACTACAGTCCAAAGCGCTTAATAATAGCCTGATAAGATTAGTACCAAACATAATAAATTGGTGTCGTTGATTAAAACAAAATTTGCAGGTATGTTTTCAGGAGAAGCGAAGGGCTATATAAAGAATTTTAAATTAGACGTAAAATTAAAGAAAAACAGCAAGCTTATATTCCACCGAGCAGATCAAATGCCATTTGCGCTAAAACCAAAAATCGAGGCAGAATTGTCAAAGTTGGTTAAGGACGGTATTATAACTAAAGTCAATTTCAGTCGTTGAGCTAGCCCCATTGTAGTTGTACCAAAGTGAAATTGCGATAATGTTAGGATATGCGCAGATTTTAAGAGAATGTTAAATACGTTATTGATAGTGAACATTGTGTACTGCCATTACCGGAGGATATCTACGCAGAGCTCAGTGAAAGTCGATATTTTACAGTGATTGACCTCCAAGGAGTTTATCAGCAGTTAGAAATTGGGGAAGACTAAAGAGTTATTTACAATAAATACTCATTTGGGCTTGTTTAGGCATAATAGACTTACTTACGGATTAAATCCAGCACTTGGAATTTTTTAAGCGATTATGGAAAGTATATTTAGTAGGCCTTAAGAAAAAATTGAATTATTTGGATAATGTTATAGTCCATGGATCAGCATTAGAAGAATGTTATCAAAATACAATTAAAGTGCTAGAACGGTTAAGAAGTTATAACGTTAAAATCAACGAGAAGAAATGTAAATTTTTTTAGACAAACGTTAAGTTCTTAGGACATATTGTTGATGCCAGTGGCATTAACCCAACGCCAGAGAAAATTGAGTGTATTAAAAAAACGCTAGCACCTCTAAATGTAACAGCTTAAGTCTTATCTGGGGTTATTAATTACTATAGTAAAATACCAATGTTATATCTGTTAAAATTAATAATTTCACGCAGTGTTTCAAACAAAAAAAAAGCTTTATTCTATCTACTTTATTCTAAAAAAACGTGGTGTCGACTACGTGATACACGCGTGACGCGTGGCTCTCTCTTTACAAAAATAAACTAATTCTAATTCTAATCAGAGTTTTTCTCTTAACAG